TTTTTTGTCTTTTTGAGACAGGGTCTCACTATGCAGTTCAGGCTGGTCTTAAGCTCACTTTGTAGCCCAGGCTGGCCTTGAACTTGCAATGATCCTCTTGCTTCAGCCTCCCGAGTGCTGGGATTACAGGTGTGCGCCACCATGCCTGGCTGCTCTTTCAGGTTTACTCTTCTCTGTACATTTGTTCAATAAATGTTTTTTGAGCCCCTAACTCATAGTCTAGTGAAGGAGACAGACAGCTGGACTGGAATCTCAGTACTTTTTTTATTCATTTATTTATTTTTGTATCAGGAATAGAACTCAGGACCTTGAGCTTGCCAGGCAGGCACTTGTGGTACTGAGCTAGATCCCCAGCCCCTGGAGTGTCAGTACTTTATGGCAAGTGGGGGTAAGTACAGGTGCTGTGAGAGCACCCAGGAAGGCACCTAATCCAGAGAAAATTCCTAAATTGAGATCAGAAAGATAAGGAAGAATTAACTCAGTAAAAGGGGCCAAGAGGCAGGGAGCAGGGCAAAGCCGGGATTGTATGGTGGGAGCATGACATGGAGAGAGGATGGAGCTGGAGGAATAAGTATAGGTCAGATTGTGATGAAATCTGGCAGGGCCATACTAAGGAATTTAGGCTTTATCCTGAGGGCAAAGGGAAATCATGAAAGATTTTAAGTGGGAGAGCAACTCATTCAGATTTATAGATTAGAAAAAGTTCATGAGTTAAGAACTGACCCTATCTTGTTTGCTTTCCAGTAAGTAATATTGGAAGAGGTGAATGGCAAATAAATCTAGATGGAAGGCCTGACCCAATAATACTTGGGTCTCTTTGGATAATGTACAGAGAGGGGTTTAAACATTTTGTGGGGTACTGGGGATTGAACTCAGAACCTTGTGCATGCTAAGCATAGGTTCCACCCAAGAACTTTTAAATTTTGACTTGCTCTTTCTGTTTTCCAAAGCCTGTTTTCATTTCCTCAGATTCTCTCAAAATCAAATCCTGAGTAGGGAGGAAAGTGTGGGCTTCCTGCTTTATTTTTCTCTGCTCTCCACTACTCTTGTTTCCGGGGCATTGCTGTGAATTGTTCATCCAGAGCTTTGCTCCCTGTGAGGAGGGAACCATTTGAATAGCAGCAGGGGAGTAGAGGAAGGAGGAACCACACGCCGGGCTCGTTCATTAAGAAAATATATTTGGCATCTTCAGACAATGGTTTGAGCAAGTTAAAAATAACTCCTCGTGAAAAATTAATAGGGAGTTATAAGTGAGTGTTTTAATACAAGCTCCCAGAGCAGGGAAGGTTCTCCAGGCGGCTGACAGCTGACATCACAGGTGGCCAGGGTGTGTATAGAGAATGGTGTGGCGAGCACTCGGCAGAAGTGAGTTCACCTTCTCTTCCAGACCCCAAGGGAGACAGGAGACAGGGATTGGTTTTGGTTATGGGTTACCGAGCAAGTAACATTTCTTCTCTCCCTACTCATCACAATCTCCTAACTGGACATAAAAATGGTAGTGAATTTTGCCTGGTTGAGTGAGGCATACTACATTCAGAATTCACAAAAATCCTTTCTAGCCCTTCTCTTTCCTTAGTAACGGGCCTTTAGTGGGCTGCTGGACCTGTTTCTCCAGTGTCTCCTGATCCAAAAGCCAGTTCTCTCTTTCTTGCAGGTAGAAAGTCTCTGCCCACTTCTCTTCCTTTCTTTTCACAATGCCCCCGTGGTCCTAGGTGATTCCACTGAAGGACTGGCGTGTCCATGCTTTGGCATTCATACCGCTCACTGCATAAGAATAATGCAGAAAGAGAAGCAGAGAGGCTGGCTGCATTTTGGGGCTAAAGGTTTTAAGACTGGGAGGACCAATATTTGTATTTTAAGCTCAGATGATATTTAAAAAATGGTTCTGTAATTGCAATGAGGCCCTCTAGGCCGTGAATTAATGTGTCATAACTCACGCCCAAGCACTGCGCAAACATCCCGCGTGTGAATTATTGCATAATAAATTCATGCCCTGTTGTGTCTTACAGCTTAATTAGTACATGAAGCTACATGAGTTAGGCGAACCCAAATGGGATTATGTCATGTGGTGCGTAAAAAAGCAGAATGTTGGGAGGTATTTGGAGCTTTTGCAGGGGGAAAGTGGGGTTGCATTTTCTATGACATCCTTTGGTGTCGGTGTCTGTGATGTTTGGGCTGCAACAGGTGACATGTTCTGTGACATGTGACTTCTGAGCTTGGGCTGGTTGGTTGAATAATGGGTTCAGTAAATATTTACTGTGTACCACATTCTAGGCATTATGGAGCGAGAGTACAAATGAGATAAAATGTGGCCCATGCCTTTAAGGAGGTTATGTTCTAGTAAAACATACCCAAGGCATAGGTGTGACCCAAAGTAGAAAGTGAAAAGTAGCACACGTAATAGACAAGTAAAGTGCCATGGGAATTCAGAGTGGAGGTTGATCCCTTTTGGCTGGCAGAGTGGTGAGGGCTGATCAGTGGAATCAGAGAAGACTGTGGAGAATAGCATTACAGTTGACTCTCTTTAAGAATAGAGAAGATTTCACCACACAGGGGGTGGTGGGGCGGCCAGTGGGTTCTAGGCACAGTGAATAGCCCTAGGGGGAATACAGGAAAGTGAAGCAGTGTTCAGAGTTCACAGAGTAGGCTGTGTAGCTTGAGACTTGGCAGTGTGAAAGAGCTACATGGACAGTGGATTGGAGCCAGAGTTTTCCTATGAGCACGTAATGCTGGCTTTCCACCCACCGACTGTACTGAAAATCCATGGAGTTGATTCTTCTACTAGGCAATGGCTGCATTCATGGGCCTTAAAGTTCTGCTGTCTGCTTTGGCCCACCCAAAAAGTGCACAGCTGAGAGGCAAGTATCCCGGGTTTTAGTCTTGTCTCTGCTGCCAACTAAAAATGTGACCTTGAGTAATCAAATCCTTCAGCGCCTTGCTTCTTTCTCTTTAACATGAGCAGTTAGAATGGACGATTTCTAAGGCTTTATTTAGTTTAAGTGTTCCTCTGGTTCTCCTGCCTTCTTACTCTCAGCTATGTTTCTCTACGCAAGCAGTTTGCATTATAACCTGTCAGCTTTTCACTAAAACCCAATGTTGGAGTTTTCAGGGTACAATAAATAGCACTGTGTCCTTCCCCAATGTTTGGAGCCAACAGATAATCAAAATAGAGGAGACAGAGAGATAGATCATTTAATCATCAACTTTAGATCTATGGCCACATTGGTTTGCTATTAGGCATGACTACATTCTTTCCTCTCAATCATGGGTCTGCCGAACCCTCTCCGGCCTTCTACCGCAGGGCCAGGGTGGATTCCTGTTAGGATTTGGTCATGGATGAGCATGTTGGAATGCACGTGTCCTGTGGGCAGGCAGGCTCTGCAAACAAAAGTAAAAGCAAAACCAAAATAAAAACCTGGCATAGCAAGCTTGGCTGCTCAGAAGTCCTGGTGAGTGAGAGGGAGCAGAGAGAGGTTAGGAGGAGTACTCTCTTCTCAGTAGGTCTCAAATCCTAGTGTGCATCAGCAACCCCTGGAGGCCTTCTGAAAACACGGGTTGCTGAGCCCCCACCACCAGCGTTTCACATTCAGTAGGTCTGGGCAGGGCCATAATTTACGTTTGTGACAAGTTACCAAGTGATGTGGAGGCTTGTGGTCCAGGGACCAAATAAAAGAGGGATAGGCAAATCCAAAGCTTATAAAATACCACAGCTTTCTGTCTTTTTATTTCCTTTATTTTGTGTATTTTGTTTATTGCTCTCCCCACAGCTAGGTGCCAGGTGCATAATGAACACTTGGTACATACCTACTTCATTGAATGGAGCCATGTACCTTTCCTTGGTATGAAAGATTTTCCTTCCTTTCACACTAAGGCTGTCTCACTCCTTTTATTTTTTTATTTTTTATTTTTTTTAGTTTTTTAGTTTTTCTCTGGTACCGGGAACCGAACTCACGACCTTGTGCTTGCCAGGCAGGCGCTTTGCCGCTGAGCTAAATCCCCAGCCCCTCACTCCTTTTATTTTAAAGCTGTCTTGTAGGAGACTTCCTTGATGAACAGCCTCTCTCTGCGTCCTTCTAGCCCCTAGAATGGTGCCCAGCTGCTCTTTCTCATTTTGCCTTTCTTTGGCTCTGCTTGACTCTTGAGGACTATCTCATTCATTCCATCCTAGTAGAATCTTGTTCAGATTCTAAGAACCTAAACACTAGGTTCTCTCCCTCCTCTAGATCTCCTCCTCCAGCTGTGAGAACAGTGATGTTCATTCACAGCAACGAGGGCAAGACACCCCTGGGGCAGGAGAATGCCTGGAACAGTGTCCCTTGGTCCTCCTCTGTGTATGCCTATGCAATTCCAGGAAGGGCAAGAGGTCGTGAAATTGATAGAAGGCCCAACCCACTGTAGCTGGCTCCAAGGAATCTGTGAAACTAGACTGGCTCCAGCGTGGGCACATTAGGCATCTTTTCTAAAGCAGTCACAGTTTTATGCTTTGGCATAGAAGGGCCAGTGTTTTTCTTTTGTGTTTAAATACAGGACATGCTCCAGGGAAAGAGAAATGGGACGCTACTCTCTTATTTGTGGAATTTCTGAAATATTCCGCAAAGGAGCAGGTGACAGCAGGGAAACTGCTAGAGGCAGGATTACCCATAAACTTGCCAACTTCTTTAGATGTCTTTTTGGGAGACTGGGACCAAAACCTTGTGAGGACGTCTAAGATTCTTTGGGATGAGAATTCACACCCCAGATGGAGAGAAACCCCGGGACTGAAGAAGTGGTAAAGAGATAGAGACTGAAACTTGTTACTTTGGAAGGGGAAGGTACGAGTAGAAACCGAGAAAGAGATATTTGTCAAGAGTTGCTTCCTGGAGGAGGATACCTGTGGAGCAATTTGGGAAATAAAAGAGGGATAGGCAGATCAGGAAAGATATGGGACAGTAATTCTAGGCTACATGAATCCTTGGAATCATGAAAGAATGAGAGTCTTGTGAGGGACGCACTTGTTCACATTTGAAGTGGAATTTATGAGCTAGGTTTGTATTGTGTATTGTGCCATGGAGGGAGATTTCAGAGTCAGGAAGGTATGAGATATGATTCTCATTGCTATCTGGAGGATAGATAGACAGATGGAATTGGATAGATGGACTCTTCCTGGGAGACTGTTATAGAAACTGCTATAATCATTTAGATCCGTGCTCTTCAAACTGTGATCCGTGGGCTAGTAGCACAGGCGTCATGTGAAAACTTGTTAGAAATGCAGGACCTTAGGTCCCAACGCAGACTACTGAATCGGAATCCATATTTTTATCAAGCTCTGCCAGTGAGTTTTACATTCTTTCATGTTTGGGAGGCGTTTTTCAGTGATAGGTGTCTGACCTTGGACGATGACGCCGTGGAGAGAAATAGGAAGGATCTGAGAATTCTGAAACTGGGAGCACAAGAAAAGGGGCCCAGGCTGGGAAAACTGACTTTGGGGAGCAGGGAGAGGTGTGGGCACTGGCTCATCTCCCTGTCTCCAGGCTTCCCATGCCAGTCACCATGGTTTGGCACTCTGCCCACTTTAGGAGAACGCCTGCTGCGCCCACGCTGAAGTCAGCCTGATCCTGAGGGGCTCCCCTGGGGCAAGTGTTGCATAGGTTGGGATTGCTGCCAGTCTTGCTCCCTCTACTTCACAGGGAAGGACTGAAAGGGACTGGGGAGGTCAGATCAGTCAGGCCCCTGCCTCAGGGTTGTACTGTCCCTTAAGCAAATGAGTGACAATTTGATGATCCTAATGATATTAATTGAGGAGGCTATGGGGGTGGAGGGATTGAAGTAGGAGTTCTTAACTATCTATAATGGCAATGAGAATATTTTCATCTTTCAAAGGATTGAAGGAGTGACCAGATGACTGGATGAGGGTTTATGCATGGGCAGGGGCCAAGTTAATGCTTTGTAAAGGATCTTCTGATGATTTTTAATAGGTTAGTGGCAAAGGAAGTACATAAGGCATAGAATTTCAGAGACCTGGAGGCATAATCAATGGAAAAAAGGTTCCAGGTGAGAACTTTCCTTTAGCTTTTGATGGGTTTGTATACTTTATTCACAGGAATTATGAGTGGTGACAAAAAGTCAATGTTAAAGGGAAATGGATTGAAATTGAATGCCAGGAGAACTTTCTGAGGTAAGGGTTGAAGGAGATGATGAAGATTCTCTCTGGCCATGCACACATGTGTCTCAGTTTGGTCTGAATGCCTCAGGAAGGCCCCAGCCCAGAAATAGAGAAGTGTGCAAAATGAACTCTCAAAGCCAGGCATGGTGGCGCACTTCTGTAATCCCAGCACTCAGGAGGCTGAGGCAGGAGGATTGTTGCAAGTTCGAGACCAGCCTGGGCTACAAAGTAAGCTCAAGTCCAGCCTGAACTGCATAGCGAGACCCTGTCTCAAGAAAGACAAAAAAACAAAACATGAACTCTCAAAATCTTCCTCTTTCCAAAGATTATTCTGTTAGCTCCTTAATGAAAGATTAGGTGGGAATGTGATGTATTTAAAGTGGCAGGGTACAGGGACAATGAATGATAGAAGAAAACAACAGTCCCATCAAAGCATTACAACATTTGCCCAAAATTTCAAAACATGGGCCAGGGTTGTACTGCAGTGGTAGAGTGCTTGAAGCCCTGGGTTTGAGCCCTAGCACTGAAAAAAAAAAAAAAAAAAAAAAAAAGCCAATTGTATTTGGTGGAATAAGCTGCATGTTAGGCCTCAAACAACAGTTTTTAGATTTCCATGGCCTTTCGCTCTCCCTGTATCTGTCTGTCTCATCAATGAGATTTTTAGAACTAAGAGAAGAGGATATTTCGCATTCACTACTTCTTTATATCTCCAATGCCTAATATAATGAGGACAATAATGGCTACTAGTTGTTGAATATATACCATGACCTGTACACTGTTTTAAGAGCGTTACATAATTATTAATGTAATACACAGTTCTATCTGGTAAGTATTGTTATCCCATGTTATAGAAGTTGAAACTAAGGTTCAAAGAGTCACTTGGGCAAAGTAAGAAGTGACACCAGCATTTACACCAAGTTTGAGCACAGCTTATGCCGCTAACCTTGGAGTATACTCTGCATGCATTAGCAGCTTAGTAACAGACAGAGGACCACTGAAACCTGATGGTGCGTTTAGAGGTAATCAAGACAGTGGGTAATTCAAACTGTGCGTAATGAAAGAACAGTTTCTCTTTGCTTTCTGAAATGTAGTCGGGTACACATTTGGGACACATACAAACTTATTCATTCACAGACATTCCCTCATTTTCCTTCTCTGTGCCCATCCTGTAGCCAGTAGTTTGGGAAGGAGGTGAGGCTGGGTATAAAGCAACTCCCTGAAGGCTGTGTGTGTGCATTCTATATAGATATGTGTTTGCCTTTGACTGGATAAGTGCATCCAGGAGTGGAGTATACTTATGTCAGCAAGTCTATAAACATGAGTATATTTGTTAGACTTTTTGTGTATGGTGTGTGTACAAATCCTGAATGAGTTAAACCAGCTATAAGGAACTGGCCAGCTTCCACCCTTGGTCCTGGCTGATGTGTTTGTACCAAACCCTGATATTTATTTTTCATCACCTCTCAAGGGAACCTCAATGAGTTTTCTTTCTGGGAAGTTTATGGCCAAGATGCTGGGCTGCTTTGGGGCCCCCATAAATCTGCTATAATCAGAGGAGGTTTGCAGAGAAAGAGAAACAGCAGCTGCCAGGCAATGCCGTCCTGTCCTTTACTTTCTAGCCTACTACCCGAATTGCCCTTATATGCATGTCATGCACATAACCACCTGCGCTGTCCTGGGACCCCTTGATGGAAGGCACTCAGATAGACCATGCCATTTACTTTTTCTTTTTGTCTCACATTGGGATGGTACACTTTGGCCATCCCACACAGAGGAGATTTAAAATTATACTAAGTAGGAAATCTAGAGTTGAGATTGTGAGAAACTTGTCGTTCAAATAATGGTTCCGCCTCATTAAAAACTTCAGACTGAACTATCACTGAAGCAAGGGTAGTAAGAGGAGCTAAATATCTCTGTTTACGTCTTCAGGAAACTTCACAAAAAGATTGAGATGCAGGAGACTGAGTAACGTGAACATTAGCAAGAGGCAAACACAACAAAGGATTCCCCTCCTCCATCTTCCAATGCTGGTTGTTGGGAGATTTTTTTTTATGAGGGATTTTTATGACAAACTTTACTTTACATTTGACATTTAACAACATCTCCTGTCCAGGGCAGGAGGAAATATAGATATTTATTGACATATGGTGTTGGAAGATCAAGGAAAATTGACTGTGGAGAATGAAGAGAGGAGGAGTTTCTCCCTTTCCCCAGGTATGCAAATTATGTGGCTTAATTTGTGTAGCATATGTTCTTCTGTGCTTGGTGCTTTTCTCAGTAATGAGATGAAGAAATCATTTCATTGTTAATAAAGAACTCAGTGGGGGGAGAGGGAAGAGGAGAGACATATAGATGGAGGCATAATGGGCATCCTGTCCTGTCTGAACCTTGTCTATTCCTGAAATGATACCAGAGAGAAAAGCAGTGGGGACAGATGGAACCTTAACTCAGACCTAGGTCTGGATTCTTCTGTTTCCTAACCAAAGCCCCAGGCTTCTGTCGTTTTATCTCGAATTTAACTGGGTTTTGCATTTCAGTCTCTAATAGTGAACAGAAGTTCAAGGTCAAGTGATGTTCAAAGTCAAGAAATCCTTTCACTAGCTGCGTCTTCTCCTTGGAATTTCCTCTTCCCTATCTCTGACTACGAAAATCCCACATAAGCATCATGGCTCATCTTAAGTGCTACCATTTTCCTGAGACTTCCTGAACAACCTCAGCACAGAAGCCATTTCTTTTCTTTGAACTCCTCTATTCATTCGCTAGTGGTAATCTTGCTACATGAGGCCTTCGGTTGTAGTTTTACGTCTTCCCTTTTTTTCTTACTCAGCTGTATGCTTCTGGAGTATAGAGATTATGTCCTATGTATTTTTATATTCTCTACACAGTGCTTAATAGACAGCTAAAGAATTGTTAATTAAATTTAATAAGTGGTAAACATATATAAGTAAAAGTGTGGATACAGATTTGGGAAGAGGAACATTATGAATATTATTGTTAATAAAATCTGGAAATGGTACTTCCAGGTATATATATCATATGATCTGGAAAATTTTAAAATCTCACTGCTAAGTTTGTTTCCTCATACTTTATTTATTCTTTCTTTTGTTCATATATAGAGTTTTTTTCTAGTGGGAAACTGCCAGTCAGCAGGGAAACAAGTGTTCAAATAATTACAAGTTGTGACAGATATCGGAATAAAATAGTTTTATGTAGAGACTAATAGGGAAACTTCTTTAGATAAGTAGGTTGGGAAAAGCCTTTTGGTCATGGGAATATATCTACCCTACTATTATTGAGTTAATTCGGTCTGTAACCTGAGTAGCAACAGCAACAACAAAAACAACAACAAAAAACCCCAATAATTGACTAAGAGTAACAGCCTTTCCACCAGGGGGCAATTTTGCCAACGCAACCTTACTTTGGTTCCTTCACTGGTCCAACCTCCCAACCTCCCCTCTACTTTGGGAAGAGGGGGAGGGCCCTCCCCTTGCCTCAGGATGGACCCTCCCCCCTCTTGGAGTTAGCAAGCAAAACAGGTGTTAAGAGCTTTGATCTTGCTACAGACTTGGAGACAGATCAAGGTAGAGTCCTCTGAAATAATGCCCGAGGATGTGAGAAGCCGAGGAAGAGATGGAGACAGAGGTAGAAAAAGACAGAGGCAAATTGCTGCCACAGAGGGTTCTTTTTCTTTTTTCCCTCCTGTCTTGGTCTTGGTAGGCTCTGGGTTCTGCATTTCTTGGGGTAGCTGACCACAGCCTTTGGGCTTCTGGGGAGAATGTCCCTTGTATGACTTTAGTGAGCCTCCTTGGTCTTTCCTCGATCCCCACTATAAGTTTGGAGACAAGGGTTGTGAGAATAAGAATGCCATCTGGTGGTTTCCCTGCAGCCTCAGATAATTCTTTCCTTACCACGGGCTTCTTTTGAGTACTTTCCTGTCCCTGTCTTCCTGCCACAAATGTTGGTAGCATTTGTTCATATCTCTTGCAGAGGATTGGTGACATTCCCAGCCCCTACTTCCTGTTAGAATAACACACTTTGGTTACTGGCTCAGGCAGCTTCTCAGGAGCTCAGGTGACTCAGGCTCTTCTCACAAAGGACTTGACCGCTTTGCACGTGCGGAGGGTCACTGCGGACTGTTGAGAAGATCTTACTTGTTAGTGCAAGGTTCTCAAACTGAAGTCGTCCTTAGTTCCCTCCATCCTTCCCTGACTCCATCAAGACCAGCTTCTCTGCAAGTGATGTCTTGAATAAGGACAGAGGCTGTTCTATTTCCCTGCTTCAAGATAAACCCTATCTCTTTGCTCCCAGGGTCCAAACCCATCCTTCGAAGATATTGAAGAAATACTTATTGGGAGAGAAAGAACCATAATTTCTTGTAGCTGCTAAGGCATATCCAGAATAGAGTTCTTCTGATCGTCAGAGATGGACAGATACTTTACAGAAATGTTATTTATTTAGCCTTTGAAGTCAAACAGTCGAGTTCTTGTCTAAGCTGGGCTACTTGCTATACCTAAAGCTAGGAACATACAGGAATAGTCAGATACCCTCTTTCATCTGTGCTAGGGATAGAATCTGAGCTTATGAGCGAAAAATTGCTTTTGAAGCTGGTAAGGAACTTTATGCCGTGGGTGCAAGGTAAATGAGGTAGAACAGAAAAGACTTTTGCTTAAAAGAGGAAAGGGAGGAATGAGCTAAAAGAGAATGGTCAAGCTGACGCTTGGACCCAGGGACCCCAGACTTAGGGGACAGATTTAGTAATGTCGGGATATACCTATGTTCTAGTTCAGGGATGGCGAACCTTTTAGAGCTGCCAGTGATACAAACAGTCTGCTGAAGCACGTGTACCATAGGTTCGCCACCAAATATTTTCTGGGGCCTGTCCCTCCATAGGTGGCAGTGTTACTCGTTCCCTTTTTAGGCAGGTAGAATGAGATACTTAGTTTGCGGTAGGTCAGGGCGAGTTCTGGTGGCAGGGTTGCCATTAGTGTGGTGAACATGTCAGATTTTCCCAAGAATCTGTGTTCAGAGATGCTATGGGGAGGAGGAGAGGATTGGTGTAGAGGAGGAAAGAGAGTACAGTTATCTTCTCTGGGTTCTTTGAATCAGAGGATGCAAGAGAGAGAGAAAGAGAGAAAGCAGGAAATTTTCTTAGAAGTCATATTCTACTGCTTTACTTTTCACTTTACCATTTTTCAATCACCTTCCAAAATGCCAGACTGCTAATAACTCCCCCAATCCTTTCTTCCATATCATAAATTTATGTTGTTAAGTTACACTTGAGCAGATATTCCTAGGACCCATCCCAGTAAGGGGAACTTCTTGAAGTCACAGGTCGTTTCCCTGAAAGGATCTACAAACCTAAAGCAGCATCTGCGTTGGGACCTAAACATATTTCCTTCTTTCCTGCAGAAATCCTGTCTGCCTATTTCCCCATTCCTCTTCTCTTTACCTGTTTTTCCTTCTGTTCTGGCCTTTTTCTTTCTTCAACTGCTGAAGAGTGGAGAAGAATGTTCTGCATATTCATTCACTTCACTCTTTCATGCTTAGTTTTAAATTCTTGCCCTGCAACCTCTTCCGTCACCACCTCCGGTCCTCTTAACCCCCTCCCCTCACTGTTTGCTCAGTTCTTGCTGTCTTTCATTCTTATTTACAATTGCTCTCTTTTTCCCCCCAACCTGCTTCACCTGTGAAGAAGAGGTGGGAAGATCCACAAGGGAGAAGGCATTGGGCATAGCAAAGCCATGGTAGTTAGGCATCAGGAGAGACTCAGGGAGAATTGGATACTGACACAGGTGGCCTAAGGGGTAGTTGCTTCCTGACCCATTGTAAATAGGTGGGGCTGGGATGACGGTAACAGGAACATAAATGGATTAAGGGCAAAGAGCTCCTTGGACCTACAGAGCAATATGCACTTACCATTCTTTCTTGTCAGTTATTTAATCCAGATATTTTGTGGGCTTGTCATGTAATTGCTGATCCTTGAGGAGGTAGTGTGGATCGCTGTTACGTCTGAAGTCTACCCCAGCCTCAGTGTGGGTTATCTTCTTGGGTCCTTCCTAAGGCATAGCCTTAGCCTTCTGGGTTCACTTCACTGAGAATTAACTCAGTTTTGGAAAGGGAGTGGCATAGGAACATGGGATTCTTTGGCGACTGTGTTCCCCATTTCATTGTCTACTTATCCAATTCTAAATAGGCCTGAGAGAATGATTTTGCTTAGTTAATTCTGTAAGAGTTTCATGGAATAGGTAGTATTACTCCCTTTCTATAGATGAGGAACTGAAGCTCAGAGAGGATAAGCTCCTTGCTCATGGAATTTTGTCTGTCTCCAAAGTCTTTTTTTTTTACCACCACTGTGTGGAATGGTACAACTATCTTTTGGAGCACTTTAGGTAAAAAATATTTTTGTCTTTAGTTCCTTGTTTGGCTTGAAGCAGCCTCAGGATAATTTGAGCTTTGTGGATTCTTAGCAATGGAAAATGGCTAGGTTCTAGGACCTGTTTTTCTCAGTCATGGTAGGAGAATGGCTGAGAGACGCTTTTGGCAGGGACCCCTTTTGACTGTACCAGAGTAATATGTGGCATATGATAGGAAGCTGGGCTTACTGAAGAGAACACCTTTACCCAAGTTGGGAATGGGGTCTTGTGAGGTTATTACCTAACCTCCTTTAGAGTAGTTTCAGAGGCATGGCAACTCTGGGCTTATCTTGGGTTATCCCCAGAAGAATGATTATAGGTTTTCTGGATTATTTGGTTTTTTTTTTTTTTTTTTTTTTTTTTTTTTTGTTTTTTCTCCGGTACCGGGAACCGAACTCACGACCTTGCACTTGCCAGGCAGGCGCTTTTGCCGCTG